CACGGCCTAACACCAACCCCCCAGAAAGAGCACACTTTTTATTTTATTTCCACAAGAATCAACTACAACTTACTAGGGGTCATAGTCACCAAAGGCACACTCGGGGTCTTTCTGGGCAAAGTCTTCGAACATCTTATCCAGAAACCAAATGAGTACTGATAAATAAAAATACACATCCCCATAGATACCCAGTGGAATAAAAATAAAAGGGTAGGACAAATTTGGGGTATGACACACATACAAAAGATCAAGAAGAATACATAAATTATGAACTAACTACTCATAACCTTGTCAAGAGAGGGATTTATCCACTCATTTCCATGATAGCTTGAGCAACAAGTTTCGGGAGAAGGTTGATCAACATCCGAGTCGAATAATCGAGATTGGATGGGAATCCACCTTCTTTTGGTGAAATATTGCTAAGAGATGATGAGAAAATGAAGGAATGGGTTTTTAGGTCAGAAAAATCCTCTCAAATGCAATTACAAGAAAATTAGATATTTTTACAAAACGTAGCCCATGCTACTTATAGAAAGGTCTGCTGAGCTGTCATGTTCGCTAGGAGAACAAATGGTTCGCCTAGCGAACACCAAAAATGCCACCTGAAGTGCACGTGTCCTGTGAACTCTCCCCAAACAAGTTTCCAAAAGTTCGATGTGCGAACAATCCTTCGCCTAGCGAAGCCTTCGCTGTGAACTTCGCCTCGTGAGTTTGTGGCCCTTTCCTTACTGTTTTGAATCTGGGAGTGTTCGCTGGCTACTCGCTATCTCTTCTCCTAGCGAGTTCTTCGTTGCCTCCTTCGCCTAGTGTGTTTATGGCCCTTTCCTTACTGTTTTGGATTCCTGGCCTTCGCTACATAGTTCGCCTAGTGAACTTTGTGAAGTTTTGGTGGCAGCTTCACTAGCAAGTTCGCCTAGCGAACTTGCTGTTGTTTGCATGCTGTCTTGGTTTCTTTTCCATCTTTCTTGTGTCTTAATTTCCACTCTTTCATGCCTAATTCTTGCATAATAACACACAAATCAAAGGTACCAAGACATTTTCACATAATGTTGCAAAACAACCAAAGCAAGAGTGATTTTGAACATTTTCTTGACAAAAAGGAGTGAAAGATGCCCACATTCGATAGATCAACTAAGCAAAGTTGGGCCTCTAACAATGATATCTTAGGTTTTGCACGTGGAGACATTGAATTTGTGAAACTGGTTATGGATAAATTCATTATTTTTGCTAATACAACTGGGCTGAACATTAGTAATCCAAAGAGTAAAAAGTATCTTGGTGGTGTGGACATGGATACTCAAAGAATTATGCAGTAGGTAACAAGTTTTGAAATGGGAAGCCTTGCTTTTAAATACCTTGGAGTTCCTCTTCATAGCAAGAAACTTTCGCTAGCTAACTGCCAACCTCTAATAGAATAAATGCTGAAGATAATTCAACATTGAAGTACCAGGTTGATGTCGTATGCTGGCAGATTACAATTAATTAAAAGTGTGATATTTGCAATATCTAACTATTGGATGCAAAGATTTCCATTACCTAAGAATATCATTAGACACATTGAAGGATTATGCAAAAGATTCCTCGAGACATGCAAGGAGAGTGATAGCAAAAAAGCTTCAATTCCATGGGACCATGTTTGTGATCCTATGGCAGCAGGTGGAAGAAACATAATTTCTCTAATTGAGTGGAATAAAGCTACCATTGGAAAATTGATTTGGAACATTTGGGAGAAAAGAGACAAGTTATGGATCAAATGGTTGCATGCTTACTATCTAAAACAGGTGGACCCAAGAAACTATCAACCAGTAACCCATGGCTCGTGGATTTTGAAGGCCATATTCAAGAATCAAGATGTTATAGTCAACTCTGAAACTTGGAAGGATTTTCAAGAAGCTGAGAGATATAGCACTAGAAAGATGTACCAGATGTTAAGAGGAACAAAACCTAAAATGGAATGGAGGAAGATGCTCTTCAATAACAAAGCGAGACCTCGAGTCGTTTTCACCTTATGGATGACCTGTAACAGAAGATTACTCACCTAGGACAAAATGATAAAATTTGGCATGACATCAGATGGTGTATGCACGTTTTGTAGCATGCAGGAGAGTCTAGACTACTTATTCTATGAATGTGATTATACAAAAGTCGTACGGGAACAAGTGTTGGCTTGGCTGGGAGATAACCATAACTCGGGCGGTTGGACTATGGAGCAATGGTCGATCACTCAACAAATTAAAGGAAAGAACAGTAGGAGCAAGATAATAAAATGTTGGCTGCTGAATCAGTTTACCATGTGTGGACTGTGAGAAACAACATCATTTTTCCAGGGATGAGACAAATTGAAGCTTCAAAGCAAGATTGTTATTGATATGATGTTGAATAGAGTAGGGATGGATAAGAAATTAGCTAGATTCTGCAATAGGGACTGAGTTAAAGGATTTCTTTCTTTTTGGTTTGTCTTATTCATTGGAGGCCTGAATCGTTTGCAATCGACTTATATTTTGACTGTTTTTTGGTTAATATATTTTTTTATTTCTAAAAAAATTATATATATAAATATTGTTAAAACAAAATAATATTTATATACCGAAAAATATACATTGTTGATTCAAATATTTTTATTTACGAGAATAACTTTACTATTGATTCAAATATTTTTATAAATAATATCAAAACAAAAATAATATTTATATACGAGAAAAAAAATACATTGTTGATTAAAATATTTGTATATACGGGAAAAACAATACTATTGTTATAAACATGATCAACTTTATTACTGATTTAAATATTGAATAATAAAATTTTATCGACCATTTTTAAAAAATATATGAAAAAGATTAAAGGTTCTTATTAAAAAAAGATTGAGTAGATATTTAAAAATTGTATTCTCTCCGATAAAATAATTGTCTTATTTGTAAACAAAAAAAAAAAAACTTAAACAATTAATTTATGTAATACAAATTTCAATAGTTTTTCTTTAAAATCATATTATTCTTAATATTATTGTTTACCTTTCATCTAATATTTGTATTACTATTTCAACTTAAATTTACTACTATTCTTAAGTTTTTTTTATTTTCAACTTTTCATTTTTATGACATTCTACAAATAAATGTGCGTCCAAAATTTATGTCCCACTCAAAAACGTATTCTGTGCGTAGGCAGGGGTTTGCTATTAGTTATCATAGAGATCGCACCTATAAATTTTCACAATAAAAAACCATTTGATATGTTAAAGTGAATTATATAAATTAGCGATTTTCATAAAGTTTTGTAAGACATTCGTTTTTATGTATCTTGTTAAGATGTCAAATAATTTTTAGTTGATATTAAATATCATAAATATGATTTATATGATAATAATTTTCAATTCAATTGTGGATTTTGTTATACAAATATATGATAAAGAGTTATGAGAAGTCATGTTATTAAGTTTGACACTTTAGTGTCATTGGAAAAAAAAAAGAATAGGACAAAAAAGTGTAAAATAGTTTTACACTAACAAACGTGCTTAATATCAAGTCACACATTTAATTTTAAAATTATGATGTGACATCATTTAATATTATAATTCTGCCGAAGGATAGTGTAAAAGTAATTTACATGTACAGTAACTCTAATCTCGTTGTTTTGAGGCTCGGAAAAAAGAGTCAATTGTGTTCACTTCTATCTTACATAAAAACTCCTTGCTCCATTTTTACAACTCAACTCTCTCGCCACTTTCGTACTGGTAGTGTTTTAGCTTTGAATTTAACACTTCTTTAGTTTTTTTTTTGTTTTTCGTTTTTAGCGAGACTCTTTCAGTAATGTTTATCGTTTCCTTTCATTGATACTGTAATGAATATGTGATGATTTGTAGCCTCGTCCTCTAATTATTTGAATTGGAACTGAAAACTTCTTGTTGAAAGGATGCTCAATTAAGTGTACACCAACTGAATGATGAAATGCCTAAACCATGTTTGATATTTTTGTGTTTCGTGTTGTAATCTGTATAGTAGTAATGTATGTTTTCATGTGAATTGATGCTTAAAATGAACTTGCATTTCTTTGTAACGCGCTTCTAGTTGAACCTCTTTGTTTTTGTCTCTGTTTACGTCACAGTATGATATCATATCACCTTGAACATGGCCATTCTTGCGAGGATTAGCACAATGCTTTCTTTACTTGCTCTATTTTCTGTTGATATGGTTAGTTTGTTGTACCCTCTTAAGCTTCAATTTAAAATTCATGTTTGTTGATATGTCTATTAGTATCAATCAAATACTATATGGCCATTCCAAATTTTACCAATAATTATATATCCACATGTCATTGTGCTCGTTTTCTCATCCCAAATTGATTTTGCCATTTCCTATCATAATTTGATAAAATATACAAATGTGCACATACTATTGCTGCGGCGCATAAATGATGGGGGTTGTACATAGGTTTCTCCGTTTGCTGTGAATGCAGCCTTTTACATACACGGACTTGCGATTCTTAGACGCAAAAATAAGGTCACTTACATATATAATGAAATGTTAATGTAAGATATAGAATTTTTAATATGATAAATCCCTTTCCTTTTAATTATAGATTGTATAACTTGTATTCGTTATTACTAATTAGAATATTTGTTCAGACTAACTTTGAGTTTTATTAGTACTAGTTATTAATTGAATTGAAACGTTTTGTAAACCAATTATTTAGCCCAAAAAGAGCTTATTTATATAACTAATTCATAAACAAGTTTTTTTTCCAGTCAACTCAGAAATTAGTAATTTTTTTCCTGTAAAATTAACCCACTCTGCTTTAGCTTTTATTAAAGCAACAACTCTAAAGCAAGAATACACGAACACACAGTCATCCACCATTAAGGATGACAAAAGTAAACTAGTACACAAGACATAATAATATAATATATACAATAATTACCAAGAAAGCTTGATAAGAGAAAGGATATACCACTTTCCATGGAGAAAATAAGAAAAAGATAATACTTTAAGTAGTTGGATGTTTTAGTGGAGTTGTCCAAGTCTGATATGGGGAAACTGGTCCACTAAAGGTGACTGTGATTTTCTCATCATTAGCTCTTTAGAAACATAATCCATGGTGGGTCGAGAAGATGGATTTTCACTCAAGCAAGAAAATGCCAATCTTGTAATCAAGATGACATCCCCAACAATTGAATTGGTAGGTTGAGGAGGGCGGTTGTCTAACACATCGATCAACAGCAAATTATAAGTCATTGCTGCTGTGGACGATGAGAACAACGAAGAAATGAAATCTGCTGGATGCTTTCCCAAAAGGATTTCAAAACAAAGAACTCCAAAGCTGTAAACGTCGCACTTCTCAGTCACTTCCATTGTTTGCGCAAACTCTACAATGAAATTAAATTTAAAACTTTAAAGTTAACGCGCATAAAACAAGGCTTTTGCGTACCCAAAGGAAAATGTGTTTAACTAACCTGGAGCTGCATACCCAAAGGTGCCTACAAATGTGGTCCAGCTGCTTGAACCAGACTTCAGAAACTTGGATGTTCCAAAATCAGAAAGTTGAGCTTCGTAGGATGAATCCAAAAGAACATTCTTGCTTGATATGTCACGATGAACTAACGGAGGTATGCAGTCGTGATGCATATAGGACAAAGCATTAGCCACACCTCTAACAACATTCACTCTCTTTTCCCAATCAAATGCAGTGGCTTTTGTCTCATTGTTTAGCATTTGAGTCAAAGTTCCACCTTCCAAGAACTTATAAACCAAAAACGAGAATCTTGAATGTTGACAATATCCACAGAGCTTTATGATGTTACGATGCCTGATTTCTGTCAAAGCTTGAATTTCATTTTCAAAGCCTTTGGAATTGGGCCTCTCCCCATCTGTTCGTGAATGAAGTTTCTTTACTGCAACAACCTCATCTGCAGACAATTTAGCCTTGTAAACAGATCCTTCTCCTCCCACTCCAATGAGAAAATCGTCATCGAAATTATTCGTCGCTCTAATGATATTTTCAAACCTCATTTTTCCATCACGACTCCATATGGAAAAGACTTCATCTGCTTGTGCTTCATTAGAATCTTTATCTTTTGTTTTTGTCTTTCTTGCTCTCTGATAAAGAATATACATCGAAATTCCCGCCCCACAAAATACTAGGACCAGAGCACCTAAGATAATAAACAATATTAGTCGGATGATCTTGTGGCTCTTTTGACTGTGGTTGGTTGGGCAAAGCTCTAAGCCAGTGTGATTACCACACAAGCCTTTGTTATTTTGTAATGACTCAATTGGAGCCTCGAGAAAGGCTTTATTATTTGGTATCCTCCCTTCTAAGTGGTTGTTTGATATGTTGACATAAGTCAAGCTTGACATGGAATTTTCAAAACTGGATGGAATGTTGCCAGAAAGATTATTGCATGACAGATTCAGCTTTTGCAGTTGCTTCAACTCTCCTAGAACTGATGGTATTGTTCCACTCAACAAATTCCCGCTAAGATCAAGAGATTCAAGAGGCTGTGACAGGCTAAACTCCGAGGGAATTCTCCCTTCAATTTTGTTCGTGCTCAAATTCAAGTTCCGTAACAAGGGTAACTTCACAACTTCTTTTGGTATTGTGCCATTCAACATGTTTCCTCCTACATTGAAATCTACGAGATTCTCTAGCAATCCAATTTCGCTTGGAATATTTCCTGAAAGATGATTGTTGCTGATCTTAACTTCAAGTAATGATTTCAGGTATCCAAGTTCCTTTGGAAGCTTTCCTGTTAAGTGATTTGAAGCAAGGTGGAGTTTTCCTAGTTTGTTTGCCTCAAGAAGTGTTAACGGTATGCCACCAGAGATATTATTGTTGGATATCATGAAGGTAAGAAGATTAGGACACTTTCCCCAGTTTGGTGCAATGTGACCATAAAATTTATTGTCACTCAGATCAATGTATTTCAAATATGGATATACACCAAAATCTTGGGCTATATCACCTTCTATTTGATTACCCTCGAACCTAATTCTTTCAATACTAGAGCAGTTTTTCAAGCTTGTTGGTACTGGACCGGTGAAATGGTTGCGAAAAGCAGTGAAGTATCGTAGAAATCCACCAGAACATACTTGAGGTGGCAAATGGCCAATGAAATCATTCTCGTCCAATGTAAAGGAAACCAAGTTGGTAAAGTTATACAGGCTCTGTGGAATGCTACCATGCAATTTATTGTTGGCCAATTCCAAGGCCTTTAACCCTGTCAAATTTCCAATTGTAGCAGGAATAGTTCCAGAAAGATTGTTTCCTAACAAACTGAGGAACACCATACTAATCATATTTCCAATAGAAGTGGGAATCGATCCAGAAAAATGATTAGTGAACAAGTATAATCTCATTAGCTTTGTCAAGTTTCCGATTGAGGAAGGAATAGGTCCAAAAAAGTTGTTGGACTGAAATGATAGTTCGTTCAAATTGACCAAGTTTTGTACAGAAGAAGGGATTGATCCAGAAAGTTTATTGTTACTCAAAAAGATGATGGACAAGTAAGACATATTCCACATGGAGACTGGGATTGTTCCTGACAATGTGTTATTAGAAAGGTAAAGTTTATTTAAATTGGTCAAGTTACCAATTGTTTCTGGAATGCTACCAGATAGACTGTTATGCGACAAATCCATAAAACCGAGTTTTGTCAACATTCCAATTTCTCGGGGAATGGAACCAATACGGTTACAACCTGAAAAAGATAGATGCTCCAAGTGGTTCAATTTGCCAATCTCACGAGGAATATAGCCATTGGAAAATTTGTTGTCCATCAAATCTAGATAGGATAGGTTAGTCAAGTTTGTTATGGAATTCGGAATGTCTCCACTTAGCTCACATGCAGAAAAATCAAGGCCTTTTAAACTCCTCATTGTCCACACTTCTTTGGGGATGGAACCTTCTAGTGGGTTTGTAGAAAGGTTCAAAACATTTATTTTGGACATGTTACCAATTTGTGGAGGAATGGTCCCATAAAAGAAGTTGTTGTAGATATTCAGCTCGAGAAGGTTCGGGAATGAAGAGAAGCTAAAAGTTTGGAGTTTACCTTTTATTCCATAATTTGTAAGATTTATGCTAGAGATGGATTTTGATTTGTCACACTGAATTCCTTTCCATTTGCATGGACTAGTAGCTTTTGTCCAAGTTGACAAGAGAGCTTGGCTATTGTTTTCAAAGCTATCTTTCCACTTTAACAGAGCATTTGCTTCACTGTCTTCAATACCAGCTTGATCATTAACCATAATAGAGGTCAAAGAAGTGATTTTGGGAAAACCAGCTACTTGTTGAGGAAAAAATACTGTTAAAAGGATCCAAAGGATCATGAAGAGAATCTTCCAACAAGCTACCATGATTCTTCAACTATAACAGGATTTTTGAATCAAAGGTATAGTCTAATGTTGCAGATTCTTTTGTGTTGATGTTATATTGTATGGTGATAATTGGTTTTGGAGTAACAATGTGCTTTTAAAAGAAGATAAAGAAGCAGCATGATCAGTGACAAAAGTAATCTTTTGAAAATCTTGTACAAAAGCATTACAAAATTTTCAACTTCGCTTTCCTAATCATACTTTTTCCAAAGTGTGCATTATTTTGGCCTCCACTTTCCATGATTCATATTATTGCTTTGAAGATAAATATGATTTGCTTTTGTAAAACACTATATGGTCAGTGCACTGCTAATTATTAGTTCTGCCATTAGTGTACTACCAAATCCTCACCTTGTATTTAACTTATTTAATTTAGTTTTTAAAATGGTTGGCTTAGATTTAACAATAACTAATTTTTCTTATTTGCAATATGATCCTGAGCTACACACTCTACAGTGCCCTATATCTAGCTGTCCCTTCTTGCTGCCACTCTAACAGAAACAGACAAGAGCACTATCTTGATAAGACACTAGGACACACGTTTATAATGCAAGTAATTCTCAATTTACAAGCTTGTTTTTATTAGGCGTTAGGTTTGATCTAAATTTTGAGATGATATCACATTCTAGAGAAAGATCTATTAGGTTGTCTGGAATTAGGTCATCGCTATCAAATCACTCGGGTCACCTTCAAAATGTTGAATCTAAAATGTGCTATGAGGTGTTAAGGGTTCTGAATTGAATGTGATATTTATAACTATGAGTGAGAATTATCGTCATCTTTTATTGACTATGGAAAATTGAGTTTTTAGTTATGACAGTGAAGTGATTAGTTCAGGAAAAGGTCTGGGTCTCAAACTCACATGCTGAGGAAAAGTTTAGATTGCAATTTAGTTTCATACGAGTCAAATAACCTGAACCAGTGGTATTAATTTTTAAAGGTTAAGGATCCGTTTGGTTTAATGGAAGGAGGGGGAGGGGAAGGGAGGAAAGGTATTTTAATTAAATATATGTTTGGTTCAAAGAAGAGGAGCTGAGGAATTTTTAATTACATATATATTTGGTTTACAAGGGGAGGAGAGAAATTTTTAACTACATATATGTTTGATTCACAAGGAGAGGTGAGAGATTTTTAACTACATACATATATATGTTTGGTTCACAAAAGGAGGAGAGGGATTTTAAAACTAAATTATTTTTTATCCCGACAAATATTATCACTCGTATTTAGTAAAAATAATTCTAAATAAAAATAGTTTTGAGTAAATATTATCAAATAAAAACTTGTTCATTCATAAGCAACACAAATTCGAACAAAATATTCAAAAACATATTAAAATGTAAACAAAATATTCAAAAATAGATTAAATTGTAAACAAAATATTCATAAAAGTCATAAAACTATTATAAGATGATCAATCAGATTAGCCAAAGACCATATGCATTATCACTACTTTGCGTGGGACACTGGAGAATCATTCTAAGTATTTGAGGCAATGACTTTATATATATCACTTCCACAATCCTTTATTAAATTTGACGCTTCTTCCCCTAAAATTGGAGGCAACTCATATTTTTGACGCACTCTCATTATTTCATTTCCTTCTCGTATTGCAACATTTTCTTCCGTTAGTGCATTTGTTACCAAAACAATTAATTCTTAAAGTTCAGTAATATCATTGTTTGTATGTTTGTTTTTAACCACTTTTAATTTTTTTTTCTTTTACTACCACTTAAAAGATCCGGTGATTGTGTTTCAGGTACAGAAAAATCATAAGTAGTATCAAAGCTTTCCAAATTTACCTCACTTCGGACAACATGATCATCAATATCTTGAATAGTTTCAACAAAGTCTTCATTAGTGATCAATGACTTTTGTTTTCTTGTCTCTTTTAAAGTTCCAGATTCCTCTCCATCAGCTCCGTTAGGTCCATAAAGTATCAACATCTTCTCATAATTTGAAAGTGGCACATTTTTCCAATTTGATGCTTTTAGTTTTGACTGAAAAAGTATGATAAATAAAAGATATTAGATTAATAAATGTTATACAATTATTAATTAATAAAATATTTTAAAATACAAAAAGTTCATTAAAAGTTACCTCAATTAGAGCATCCCAAACTTCTGACTCGGCATCCTATAATTGTGTAGTTGAATTCCAAGAAAACCTACTCATACCACTTGATCTTGATGGCTGATCAGAACCTGAAGCAGGCCAGAGACATTCGTCTGTGATGCTAGGTGCGAAAGAGGAGGAGGAGGTGTACCTGTAAGACACTCTGATGCTAAAGTAAGAATCGGGAGAAAGAAGGCAAGTATAAAGTATGTGTGTATCAAGGTGAATATTGAATACCTGACCCTCTCAAATAAGAAGATTTTTATAGTACCCCAAGCGCTTGGCCATTGGTCCCTATTTTTGGGGTGAGATAATTGTTTCCTGAAGAATAGGTAACTGCCAGAAACTCGTCATTAGAACGAGTAGAGGTTCCCATAACTAGCCGTTGCTACGGGAAGAGGCGCAACTCCAAGCACAAGTGTCTTGGTTGTTTCTAGATGGTGGAACCGTGCGTGACAGGAAAGGACTAACGAGAATAAGTGTTGACTCAGGGGTAAACCGGTCAACCTCCCCTATTGGAGGGACAGAAAGGTTAATGCTCCCCCAAATTGGTTGGACTTAGGCAATTGGACCATTCTGGGAGTAGAAGAGGATTGGGTCATGCCTAGCCATTGGGTCAGTCCAAAACAGTAGCCCCTAAGTCGTTGCTTTCGAGCATGAGAGTGATGACTTGAGGACAATTCGCACTCTGGGCAAGGTCGTCGCTTGCCGTAGAGATAGGGCTGTTACCTTGTGCCCCAGGGAATCTGTGCCCGGGAACCTGTTACGCTGCTTGTCGGGGAGCTCGAGGTACAGGGAGACCAACGGTTGATGGGATCTGAAGAGGTGAATTGCCATGTGTGCCTCGAGCCGCGTACTGCATTTAATGCGTAATGATGGCTAGGCTAGGGTCATGATGATGCCCTTAGCCGCGCGTGCTTGTGCACGTGCCAGGAATTGCCTATAAATAGAGCGAGAAGCTGCTCATTTGCACTTTTTGCTTATCTCTCTACCTTCACTCTCTATCTTTGCTTTCCGCCGTCCGCCGCCGTCATGTTCTGGCCGACCGCCGTACCTTCACCAGCCAGAGCCGTTCGACCCCAGAAACACGTCCTCGACCACATAAGTACATGACTTCCTTGCTTCTTGTATGTTTCATTGATTTCTGCTTCTTAGAATGCATGCGATTAGGGTCGTAACAGAGTAGTTTATGTCTGTTTTCTGGTGGCTGTTCGTGGCAGACGGTGGTTTGGCCACTTTTTCTACTGTTGGCGTCGCTGGAGCGTTTAGGAGCTTAGGATTTAGAAACTTTAAGCTTTAGCTGAACCCGATGCTGTTGCGACACGAAAACGTTCGTCACCGACGAGAACCACTGATTTTCGGTGTTCCATTTGAGTAGGGCTTAGGAGGGGGACGTTGTCCTCGGGCCTTCGCGCGCCCTTTCACTTGACTAGTGGTGGAAGGGTGGATTTGATTCTGTCATCAAATTCACTTTTATCCTCTGCTTTTCAGGTATAGGAGATGTCGCACGAGCCGAAGAAGAGACCTTGAGAGATTTGTCCGAGGAGATCTCCTCGGAAGACACTAACACCGGCGACGCTTCCATGCCTTCTGATGCTAAGGAAATGCCCGTTTTGAGGACTACCGTCGAGGAATGGTCTGTGTCCGAACCAATGGAGCACACCTCACTTTTCGCCTCTTATACTGGGGACGTCTTCATGACGGTGGGGGCCGAAGGAGAATGGAAGGTCCACCTCCCCAAAGAAGATGATCGCATGTGATCGCCGTATGAGGAGAGGTTCCCCATGTACGAATACGTTTTTAAGGAGATAGGGTTGCCCTTTTCAGATTTCTAAAGGACATTCTTCGTGCATTTAGACTTGGCGCCCTCGCAGCTGCACCCAAACTCGATTGCCTTTATACGGGCATTCGAGCTAGTATGTGAGTATTTGGAGATTTGGGTTACTCTTCCCCTCTTCTTCTTCACCGTCTTCCACCTCCAGCGACAGGTATTGGGGAAGAAATTTGGCTGGGTCTCCCTGAAGCAGGGGAGAAAGTTGTTGAAACCTTTTTCTGAGTCCATCAGGACTTTCAAAGAAAGGTTCTATGTTATTGAGCCCGTGTCGGAGAAGGCCGCCGACTCAAATTTTATCTGGGAGGTCTCTACGGATGAACATGAGGAAGGCTTGGTAGACGAGCACAACAAGATAGTTTCCCGGAGGCTGTTCCAATTTCCTTTTTGCTGGAGTGAGACCCATTTTACCCGCTCAACCGACAAATACATTGTCACTCCTCATCAGTTGGGGGATGATGACCAGTCCAGCTATGCCAAGCTGGTGGCTTTTATGGACGACTTTCTCCCCACCTAGTGTGTGACTCGTGCTGGGAAGATTATTTACGAGGAAGATGGGGGACCTCGGGTGGAGGCCCGATATATTAATACGAAAGAGCTCCTCGAGTGTAGCACTCGCGCAGAGGCTCTAAAACTTCTTGGTAGTCTTTTATTTCCTCTTAGTTTATATGAGTTGCTGCTTCCTTCGTGTACTAACGTGTCTGTTATTTTGCAGGTAATATGTATTCTACTCAGGAGTGAATGATGAAGAACGCTCAGGGGAAGATGAAGAGAGGTGTGACGATATGGAAGAGTCATCTCAGCCAACGAGAGGCTCCTCCTCAGATTGGGTCGGGGACCTCCTCGTCCACCCTACCTATCGCCCATTCGTCGCTGCTACCTGTGAACTCAAGGCTTAAACGTTCACGTCCAAACAAGGTTGTGGACCTCAGCAGGGAAAGAGAGAAGAGCAGGTTCGAGCTGCCCCCGTACTTGCATAACAAGAGGTTCTTTGAGGGGTCTTCTTTGGAAATTCCTCGGGCGGAGTCCCTAAAGC